TTACAATTCTATAGTATTACTATTTGTTGTTTTTTTATTATTAGTGTTATTACTATTAACTATTTTTATTTTTATTATTGCCATTATTACGATTCTTTAGCATTATTATTCGTTGTTTTATTATTATTAGTGGATAAGAGAAGAATGGTATGATAATTATTATTTATTATTATTATTATCATCATCATTATTAGCATTCTTTATTATTATTAGTTTTGTTATTATTATTAATTATTATTATCATTATTACGATTCTTTAGTAATATTATTTATTGTTTTATTATTATTATTATTATTATTAGTGAATAAGAGAAGAATGTTATAGAGTGAAATAAACAATATGATAGAAGTGATGTAATACTCTCCTATTTCATTGTCAAAATGAGGAAGTGAAATTAAATTATAGAAGAATCCTTTTTATCCTTTACTATTCTTTTATGTTAGCTATATTTTACAATTCTTTTGTTTTAATTATATTTTACTATTCCATATATAATACATAAATACATAAAAAAATATTAAGTAAATAAATAAATAAATAAATAAATAAATGTTTAACATATTTCAATATCGAACGTTAATTTTATTTTGAAATAACATTAGATAAAAAAAAGAAAATAACATAAAGATGAATGAAATGAAATGAAAAGAAAAATATATGAAGGTCAAAAGGTTAAGATAGTTAATTCTATATATGAAGGTCAAAAAAAATACGTAAAGGTCAAAAGGTTAAGATAGCTAATTCAAAAATACCCGCATATAATATAATTTTTTTATTCACTGTTCATTTTCTACTATATAATATAATATAATTTTATTATTCATTGTTCATCATTTTACTATAAATTAAATTCATTTGCATCAAACATTTTAACATTATTGATTTTTATGTATATTTTCAAATTTATTTAATTCTTGTTGATTCTCCCAACTATAAAATTGCTTCTAATAGAAATTAATTTGTGACATTAAAATTTGAATTAGCGAAATTATTTTGAAAAATTTTTTCCTCTCTGTCCTTCTAATTTTAAAACCATTACCATTTATTGACAGTTTATTTGAGAGGAAGAGAGAGAAAAAAAATTTTCATCTCATCCTTATATTATCACTGTTTATTTTTTTGTTCTCTTTATGATTAATTTATCAGTACAGAAACTTACAACAGTTTATCGAAGGGATTAATTTATCAGTTTATCTAAAAGATTAATTTATCAGCATAGAAACTTATAGCAGTTTATCTGAGAGAGAGAGAGAAAAGTTTCATCCCATCCTTATATTATCACTATTTCTTTTTCTTCTGTTTATGATTAATTTGTCAGTACAGAAACTTATAATAGTTTATCTGAGAGATTAATTTATCAGTATAGAAACTTATAACAGTTTATCTAAGAGAGAGAGAGAGAGAAAAATTTCATCTTATCCTTATATTATCACTGTTTTTTTTCTTCTCTTTATGATTAATTTATCAATACAGAAACTTATAACAGTTTATTTAAGAGATTGACTTATCAGTATAGAAACTTATAACAGTTTATCTAAGAGAGAGAGAGAGAGAGAGAAATTTCATTTTATCCTTATATTATCACTGTTTTCTTTCTCTTCTGTTTGTGATTAATTTATCAATACAGAAACTTATAACAGTTTGTCTAAGAGATTAATTTATCAGTACAGAAACTTATCAGTTGCAACCTATTCAATATTTTATTTTCAACTATCTCTTTTATCAGTTTTGCATAATATAATTTTTCTTGCAAAAAATAAGGTTAAGTTTGTATTTAACATATTAATATTACAAATGAAATAAAGTATTTATCTTGAACTTCTTGAATTATACTTTTTAGTATTATTCTTTTTTCATTCAAAATATAATCCATTTATTCATTTCTAAAACATTCCTACAATTCCAGTCATTTTTCCGGATGACCGAATTAAATGGTGTGGAAAGTTTGCTACATACTCTTTTATTATATAAACACTAATTTTTCCTTTTTTTCTCTCCTCGACATATGAACCATTGAATTCGAAAATATCTCCTGCTTTCTTTTTTTCTTATTTAAATTCATTTCAAAATTCGTCATATTTCTATTCCCAACAATTTTCATTTTATTCCAATCTTCTAAACTGCTATATTTCATTTATTATTTGTTAATTATTGATTGATTAATTAAATTTACATAAATAGGCATTTTTCACTTAAGCATATCAATGTATAAAATGCTTACATATCGTTTTGATTAGAGCTAATTATTGGTCGATTAATTAAATTTACATAAGTGGGTATATTTCATCTAAGCATATCAATGTATAAAATGCTTATATACCGTTTAATTAGAAGATATTTTGATTAATTTTTGTTCATAATAATTTGACTATAAACCATTCATTTGGAAGGCTTTCTAAAACTTTACCCAGGCACTTCTATGATTATTTATAATTTATGTAATGGAGAAAATTAGCGATAAAAAAAGATGAAATTGTCATATTTTAAGCCATAATATATCTTTTAAATTCATAGTAAAATAAATAGTTTTGTTTACTGATTTAACTTAATTGTTATTAGTTGAAATTAATTGTTTGTATTACTACCATAATCCATCCAATTTTTATCACCTAAATTTAAGAAAGGGAAAAATTGTGGAAAGGATTTGAAATTTCGATATAATTCGCAAATTTTGTTGAAAAAAAATAATTGAAGATTTTTTAAATTTAAATTGTAAATTATGGAAAAAAAAATGAAAGATGACGAATATTTCCGTCAAATTAAATTTGCACATAACTTATCGACTAATAATGGTAATATTGTTGGCAGAAATAAAAATCTATGTTTATATTTATTTATAAAATGAATAATTTAGCTAGCTATTTCTTCAATTCAACAATAAAATAAAGTATTGATTTTTGAAATTTTATTATCATTTCTATCATCCTTCAATTCAACAATAAAATTAAGTAATTAAAATTAAGTATTGATTTTTGAAATTTTGTTATCATTTCTATCACCCTTCAATTCAACAATAAAATTAAGTAATTTTAAAGTATTGATTTTTGAAATTTTATTATCACTTCTATCATCCCCGTATATACTTCAATTCAACAATAAAATTAAGTATTTAAAATAAAGTATTGATTTTTGAAATTTTATTATCATTTCTATCATCCTTCAATTCAATAATAAAAATTAAGTATTCATCCGTATCATTAAGAAAGATATAATCTATTATGGAATTTTTAGAAATTATTTTCAAAGAGCAATAATAAATAAATTGATTTCTTATCCTCACCATTTCTTATATAAAGTAAACAGAATTGACTTAGTTATTGAGTAGAAATAATGATCACATGAAGTCTGCTCACTTTGCATGCTACCGTGTAAGCATTTCTAATCTATTACCTATTGCTTTTCATATATACCTCTATATATATATATATGGATGTGTGTGCGTGTATGTGTATGTGTTTATTTCCTATCAAACAAATCATCCATAACATTAAATTTCAATTAAAGTTTCAGGATCAGAAAACACGAAAGAAATAAATACAACATGAGCTTTACTCCATTCATTTTTTTCTTCTTGCTTGCAGTTCATTTGTTTACATTTTAGGAGATAATCATCCCAATATGTAATGAATGGATAATAAAGCGTACTTACACTACAGCTTTATTTTAATCCACTCCAATCCTCTTGGCTGTGATCGTTTAATTACCGGACTTCGATAGAAACTTCTATATTCATCAATTAGAATTTGTAGTTTTCCCATTATTTCCGGTTGAAAAGGAATCACGTATATCTGTAATATATAAAATTAATAAATACTAACTATATCATTCCTACTTATAGCAAGCGATAATTATATTATTATTGAATTAGAAAAGCTTGTTTTATTACTATTAATTATGAAGTAATTAATAAAAACGAATAATAAATCCATAAGTCTGTTTTAACATTGCATAATTTATACATTGTTTACTTTTTCATTCGACATTTCTTCGATTTGGTTGATTTGAATTCTATCGTATTTACGTAACGTAATTTTACCATCATCCAGAGATCAAAAGTCGAATGTTGTCACTATTTGAACTTACCAATATTTGAAATCCCGCCTAACCTCTTTGGAATTTGCATTTGCATCATAAATGAGCAACTTGAGAAATTGGAAAATCAGATTATTCAGTTACCGGTTTAAGTCTCTTCTGTTTCACGGTGATAGTATCTTTGTTGTTATATGCATCGAATAGTGATTCATTTAGATATATTTGAATTGCTAAGTAATATTTCAGCCTTTCGAGAGAGAAATTTAAATTCAAATTTATATTAAGGTGAATAATTAAGTGGTAAAGTTTTAGACATATTTAAAGAACAAATAAGCATTATGCAAACAGAATCATACTGTCTTCCTTAACAAATTTGAATTTGAATTTTGGAAAATTACATGCCAATGTATTATTGTTTGCGTTAATTTGCTTAATTGCTTAGTCTGATTTGTTTAGTACTACTGAATTCATAAGTATTATTGGAGATTCTTATCAATATTTTTGAATTTTGAAATGATTTCATTTTGTAAATATTCATTGATGTCATTGGCCACTGTAAATTTATGCAACTGGTTTTTTTTATTTAGTAATTCTAGTTTCTATAATTAGTAATTTATTCCGAGTTACTCCGTATTGCTTACCTTCAAGGAATATAACTGATATTTTCCATATAAAAAAAATATTTAATATTGCAAAACAAACTATTTCAGGATGCCATCATCATCAATCCGGAAGAAAGTATGTGGCCTAATACGTACCACATTTTCATCTTTAGCTCCTGATCATGGTAACGACAGTGATAGTGATCATAATGATGGTAACTTGATTGGTGATAAACATCGTCATGGTAAACATATTACAAATAATGGTACTACTGTTACAACAACAACAACAACTACTAATCCGTGTCTTTCTGGTAATTGCTCACCGCTGATTCCAACATCTAGTAATTCTTTCATCTCACAATGCATTTTCAGAGGGTATGCGATTTTTTTTATTCAATTTAAAATTAAATTTTATTTTTCAAAAATCAGTAGGTCTTAGTCCATCCTAAACAGCAGCTTTTAATTTTTAGATCATAAAATTGGAAATTTTTTCGAGAAACTAATAGATTCTGCATAATTTAAAATACAAAGTTTCATCTTGACTTTTTCATTTTAATCAGTTGTTCTAAGTCTAAATAACACTGTATATGTTTAATATGTTTTATTACTCTCCTTTGTAAATTTATCAAAAGTTTCGGTTTTGGAAATTATTTATAATGCAAATAATTTGAATATTACTACATTATATTAATTCATTCATAGTATATTTAAGCAGCGTCGAAAAGTTCTTCCATTTGGAAGTTCTTATTATTGTATTGTAAAATATGAAAGGGATTTCCTAAAAATTGCTTATATCATCAAAAACATTTTTTTTCACTTAAATTCAAATTTTTTTAAATCGAGCAATATTTGTTATTTTTTTTTGTTCCATCGGTTTTTTTAGCAGGAAAAATGGTGTGAAATATGGAACGGAAATTTATTCCGGTAAAACGGGTCTTGATTTGCCGATTCTGCTGTTAGAACCTTTGTCTAGGAATGTTTGTGCTTCATATACTGGTCCAGAAGGTGGACTTATGGAGGTATGTTGTTAAATTAGCGCATTTTTTTTTGCTCAATATATGTGTTCTTTTATTCATAAATTCTAGTTAAAATTTTTCATGTCTTTCAGGTAGGAAGCATACGTCGTCAACCGATTGTTCGAATGGCAAATTTAGATGATGAACTTTGCTTAAGTTTCGATGGTGATTTATCGACAGATATAGGAAGTTCTTTGAATGATGAGTTTGAAGTTCTACAACATAATCATTTGCGGCAGTCATCATCCGGTTTGATAGGTTCATGTACATCACTTGTGGATTCAGTCATTATGGGAGATGCATCACTACGATCAGATACTGGTATGAGTGTTTTTTATTTTTTGAAGTTGAAATCAGATTGCAAAATCCTCTTAAATTTCTCTTAAAATTTATGTCATATTTAATTAATTTATTTTTTGGTGATTTATATTATCCCATTCAAGTGGTACTTCGTAATATTAACTTAAGCCTATGTGGTTCTTAACCTTTTCACTCTATCAATTACAGATGTGACTCATTTATTTTAGAAAGTTATAACTGGAATTGTTTCGATGAAGAACGCTGCTTCGGGATATCAACAACATTGTATGAGAAAAATCCGTTGACGGGCATAAATGCTGGTAATCCAATAGCAGATGCCTTTGGTATTGTGGCTCGGGACAATAACGTTATAATGGCATTGGCTGATGGTGTTAATTGGGGCGAAGGAGCTCGTCTAGCTGCACGATGTGCAATACGAGGAGCTATTGATCATCTCAATTATCATCTTTTCGCGGATAAATGCAGAACAACCACTGTTCGTCACTGATTTTTTTCTCCCGAAATTTTAATTAATAAAATTAGATTGAACGAAAGATTAGAGAAGATAACGTTATTGGTATGTTAGTTAAAATTTTCATTTTACTGTCATTTTACTTTTGCTTTTTATTTTTGCTGATGATGAAAAAAGTAATGAGAAGACAGATTAAGCAGTTAGTGAACTTGCTCAAACTAAGTTATATTTAGAAGAGCGATATAAATTACCTTCTTTGATCAGCATACGGTGGATAGTCAAGCAAGGTAATTCATATCAAGAGAATTTTAGCTGTAAAATGAAAATAGAGTGCCAGAAAATGACATCTGTTAGTTCTGATTACATTCAAAGTAATTCTGTACTGTTGGTCCTTATTATCGACATTTGCAAAATTGTTTGAATGTACAGTCAAGTGGATTATAACCGAAATTGATGACAGAGGCCGCTATCAGCTTCAATTTATTCTGATCGTAGAGTAATCAATGTTCCATGCTTAATTTTAATAGATGGAAAGAATTTCTAGATTTATGAGTGGGATGTTAGTCTTTATAGCGAGCGTCCTTTGAGACATCATTTTGTTATCCATATGTTATTGATGAATCTTGCTTTATCTGGCAACGGGTGGTATCGTTAACATTCTCTGCACTCGTCTTATGGGTTGATGATTCTGAAGAATTCTGCCCAACTGTCATTCTATATTTTTAAAATGTTTGGGATAATTTTGATTTGATTTCTGAGTTTGTTTGTTTAAAATATTTTCAGGAGGTATTTCATATATTACTTGGTGCATTTCATTCCGCCCATGCACTGATTTTGCAAGAAGGTGGTCTTCTAACAACGCTTTGTGTGGCTGTTGCAGTACAACTGAAAGAAAGTACTACATGGGTGCTTTGCGTATGTAATGTCGGTGATTCACTGTGTTTTGTGTACAATCCGGAGACTGGCGTTCAAGAGGTGCGTTAGAAGAATTCAAATTTTTCATTAGTTTCTTGAACTTTTGGAATTTTAAAGTCTTTCAAACTATTAATAAAGATTAGAACGATTTGAATTATTCATTTAAAGATTACAATTGCTTCACACGACATATGCACCATGCGTGATATGCGTGATGCTGGTGGTGCATTAGGACCTGTTGACGGTACGAATCCTCAGTTACACAATCTTACATGTTCGATGACATTCGTAGAACCAAGTAAGCACTTAAACTTTCAGTATGTTTCAAGAAAGGAATGAAGTGTAAGTGGAGGAGGGATTCAAAAAAAATGGACATTATGAACAAACCGTGTTGCTTACATCTGGGATTTATGTAGAAATTATGAGAAAGATTTTTCCAGATGATGTGATATTCATAACATCCGATGGTGTATCTGACAATTTCGATCCGGTAGTCGGAAAATTTTGCGTTATCAAAAGACAATCAGAGCCAATCAATACTTCAGAAAAACGTGGATCAATCGCAGTGTACATTTCTTCTAACTATTTGTTATATTATTTGTATAGACATTTATGATGAAATAGTTTATTTCTAAATGGAGTTAAAATTCATTAATTTGAAAATTTTTGAGTTAAAAATTCATAATATTAATATTATACGTTGGTATGGTGATACGGTGTGGTACATTTTATTCACTTGTGGATGATACAGTTCAATTTTGCGGCAAGATATCAGTCGTGTTAAGATACATCAGATATGTTTCTTTTTAAAACTCTGAAGTTGTTAAATGAAATTTTTGGCAAGGTCTGTTGTTTTTAGATTAGGTAGTGAAGATAAAAGCCGAGGTGCTGAATTTGCTCGATTACGCATGTGCAATACGTCGCTTCCATGTGTTGATGCTGAGGAGCGTCATGAATTAATGTTATTAAGGTATTGTAATTTCCAATCTTATATCAGCATAAAATTAAAAAAAAAAAAAATTATTCTTGAACTCGAAATATAAAACTTTCCGGATTCCAGGTTTTCGAAGCTTTAATGGGAAATTTTTGTTAATATTCTTCAAATTTAATAGAATCAGGTCTTTTTCAAGAATGGGTGATATAATTTCGAATGGTATTCTTCCACCCACTTCAAGATCAAGGTCTTCACCGGCACATCGATCACGGTCACCGATCAACGGTGGCGTTACTGTTAGTGCTAGCAAATTATGTCACAATCTCATTCAGTTCGCTCGGCAGCTATCCATGTAAGCTTACGTCTCTGTGAACATGCATACATGTGTTACTTAACATCGTTTTAGATTAGAAAAGAATTTAAAACTAAGTTGATTTAATTCAATTTTAAATGCCTCACTAAATACTGAGATCTTTTTGAAAGTGATTTTTAGAATGTTGAGATCTGTGGGCAAAATTAGAAGAGAAGGGGAACGAATAACTTGATTATTTGAAAAACGCACTTTTTTTTCGTTTTGTTCTTACAGTATTTTTTGCACTATACAGTAATTTATTTAGTTGTTCTCCATAATTGTTATTGTTGGTTTAAACTTGAATTTTGGCTATAATGGCTCATATTTCAAAAGTGTTTTGACCATTTTTCAGTACAAAAGTAAAGTAGAAGAGTCACAAAGTTATCGTACAGTATAAAAATATAAAAAGCATTGTTAAATTTATAGTTCTTTATTGTTTGTAATATTTAAAACGTTCCTTTTTCCAATTTTGCTTGCATGGTAAAAGTATCTTTTACGACTAATTTGCAAACAAAAGAAATTGTAGATCATGCAAATATTTATTAGTTAGCAGTAGTTATGATAAGTTATGTTTAAGGTAATGATTATTTTTCTTAAAAATACAGAATTTTTGTTTCCTTTTTCTATTTGAGTGCTTGGAAATTTGCATATATTTTATATTCCTTGTTTTTTTCATCTCGACAAAAATTTTTGATATTTTTAGGGCAAAGCGTCGAACTCTGGAAGACCCGGAACTGTACCAAATTGAGAAACATCTGTCAAAAAGTGAGCAACGTAATCATCGTAAAATGGTACGATGTAAATTGAGTGAAATGCCTGGAAAATTAGATCATGCAACAGTTGTAGCCTTTAAAGTTGGGATTTGGCCAAATGATGATGATGGTATGTGCTTTAAAAAAAAAAAATGATTGAGAAGAGGAGCTTGAGGACCGAATAAGATGGAAACGAATTTCCAACCTTTGAACTTTTAGTGTTTTTTTAAAGATGAAAGGACATTTAGAATTTTGGTGTGATGTCAAGATTGTCAAGAATGCTGGATGTCGTACATAGTTTGACTGGAATCATTCTTGTCAGAGATTCGCATACTAAATTCACTTATGCATCCATTCTTGCTTTTTCAAGTCAGAATCATAATTTCGATTGTTTAACTTCATTTCAGATGCGCCGACTGAGAGGTCATTACTAGCAAACGACTGTTTGAATGGCTCAATTTCAACTATACATTGTGAAAACGGCGAAAACGAAGAAAAAGTGGATAACGTTAAGTCATCGGTGGTGGGAAATGTCCAACAAGAAATAACATATAATGTAAATTTCGTCGTACAGAACGATTTTATGGTACATGCACAAACTTCCATACCATGTAGTGATCCGGAAAAAGCAACTGCAACGCTGAATGTGAATGTTCATAGTGTACAACTTGAATTAGCTGGAATGAATAAAGAAATAAAAGATAGAAATCCTTATCAAGAGATGCCGGTACGTTCCATATCCTCGGTGGATCAGATTTTAAATCCATTAAATATCAAATTAACTACTGCATTACAAAGTTGGGCTTGTAATCATCGCAGTTGTTTTTGATAAATGAAGCCGATTATTTACTGTTAAAAATCGTAATAGAGATTGGCATTAGAGATGCAACTAATTAAATTCCCTAAAATTCCGCGTTTTCATCTTTAGACATCAAATAAATCAAGTGATATTAATACCCAGAAAAAGCATCCTCGTGGATCCACTGGTCGTCATACACTTTCAGTCGATGTCGCATGGTTAAAGAAATTTGTAGTGCTCAAGAGTTCTGCAAATGGATCCATGAATGAAGAGAGGATAAAGTAAATTTTCTTATTTGACTCGTATGAAAAGTAATAGACATCTTTTGCTCCAACATTTTCTTTCAATAAATTTATTGTGAAATTTTCATTTAGGAACAATTATGCTGTGGAAATTGAAAGACCACAAACATTTTCACTGCGTCAGCGCCTTCGTAGTCTGGTGGGTTCGGCTCGAAGTATAATCCAAACAAGCACTGCTGGGACATCGAATAGAGAACTATCTTCACGTAATCCATTTTCAAAGAAAGTATCTTCCGCCAATTCATCGCCAAGGAAAAAATCACAAGCTTACTAACACTTGCTTATTACTTAACCCGTTAATTAATCGATCATGTTCAAGTGTAGAAAATATAAAAAGGATTGTATAAATTGATTACTAAGATTTAAAACTTTGCACCGCTGCAGTTTTCATTGGGACTAAAAATATTCTTTCATACATTATGAGACATTGAGTCTTATCCCCATTATCTAGAATGAGTTACCTCAGCTCAAAATTTTACATGCCATTTCGACTTTTAGGAACACTGAATGAGTATTTAAAATTATCCAAATTCATTTCTGGTGTTTGTGAGGAGGAAGGTGATGCTAGATTTAATTCGAAACGAAAAAATTCGTGCATCGTCCAGATTGTTCTATTACATTACTGAATTAATTAAGCATGAGAAATTTCTCTGTGTAAATTTTCTATGTTTTTGTTTTCAGGTGTTGTTTCCATTACTGCCTCTGCTTCTGAATAATAATAAAAAAAGAAAGTGTAAATCAAATATCGTTTCAGATTGTTCCATTAGTATCGTTTCATTTTTTTTGGTATCTTGTTTTATTTCCTTTTTCTGTGATTATCCATCTGATCAATGAAACTGACACTATCTCTGTATGTCATGATGAATATTATAATCCCTCTTAATTTCCCACTTTTTAAAAGTAATCTGCCTCTCTGTTGTAATATAAGTGGTCAGAAACTGACTATGCACATCATATCAATAGTCTGTTTAAATCTAATTCTTCTAAGCAGTGAGAGTGTAAATTCACTTATGGAAACACAATATTTCTGAAAAATTCGAAATGGTTGAGAACTTGCATCAGTAAACAATTTAAAGGAAGTGTAAGTTTTGTTTCAGTTAAAAAAGTTATTTTCTACCAAGTTATCAAAAAACTTTGCTTCAAACATTAAAATATACATGCACATATACATACATACACATGTGTACACCACGGAAGATAGAGGTCATACGTTGCTTAATTCGGTAACGGTGAATATTTCTTGATCATTGGGCACTGAATGAAAATCCTCTGATGAGTTATGCCTCGAATGAAAACCCGTTGGACTTGAAAAACCGGAAAATCGTTCGCATTCACGGTTTTGCAAAATTTTTCGCCAAATACGACACACTACACCACCTCTGTGAAATATAACAAATTTAACATGATGGAAAAATAAAAAAATCATTTAACTATTCATCCAACTTATTCTTTCATTATAAAAAGAGACAGGATTTCATTGGGATGACAACGGGTCCCGATTTTCACTCCCTTTGGATAAGCTCAATCCGAATGGTCACCTCTGCCCATATATAAACATATATGTAATCCTGAATACCCCCTTGTTTTTTATCAGCCCTCTGTTAGCTCTCATTCTCCCTTTCCTCTTATGATGTACCTCAGATTAAGTCTCATCAAGTCTTCTCGAGTGATAAAGTCGAGAAGATCTTGCTTTGTGTATTCTTCCTCCTGAATTCGTCCAATTGTAGTATCGTCACATCCGAAAGAACGCAACCATTGTGCTAACTCATCATTCCGAACATTTCTTAAAAGAAATACTGCAATTAACTACCGCAGTAAAGGTATAATCTGAAATTTGAATAACGATGCATTACAATGGTTTGTAGTTTAAATTTTAACAATAATTTGATGATTCCAGTCTAATTCCTCATCCTAAATTAATTTAATTTAATTCCAAAGAACGAAACGACTTACGAAGAAGTTTCAATATGATTAAATGTTTCTTGTTCCATGGGCTGAAAACTGTTCAATGTGCATACTGGCGAAGATTTAGAACCCGTTTTGATTTGCAGCACTAACGGTGATAAGGGAAAACCAGATGGTAATGACGATAGTGTTAGCAATTGTTGATTACTCGGTATATTATCGTTATCAGACAACAAATCAGACAAACGTTCTACACGCAATCTTTTCTCTTTAAGAGTAGTCTGAAGTAATTCGTTGTACTCACGTTCAACGGCAACCAATTCCTCAAATAATCTGAAAGAAGGATTTGTGAATGAAGCAAAATAAACTGAAATACAGAACTCCTCTAAAACTCCAAAAACAAATAACTATGACTGAAATAACTGAAAAATGTTAACATAAAACATTTTCACTCGAAATTTTTACTTGCGTTCATCATGAATGGGAAGAAATATAATTTTACCTCCTATTTTCATCAACCAGTGCCCGCATCTCTTTTAGCATTTCCGGTGAAAAATTACCCCATATAGTTTCTCGAGTTATACCGCGGAATGCAGAACACGATTGGCTATCCACAGTTGAATGTTCACTGTGAGAACCTCCACTTTCACGGGATATCGATGACATACGATTACCTGGTGAATCCTGAACCGATAGCATCGCTGACAGATCTGAAGAATAAATCAACAAGAACCGTAAGCCTCTCTTAAAAGCCTATACTGGATCGCTAATATCTATCTAATACACGTTCGCAACCAAATATAGGATTCTTTTTGCTAAACTAAAAAAGTAGCATACTTAATCAAGTATCCCAAAATCTTGACGATCTAATATGGTGCATATCATCGAAAATTTTCAATAGAACCCGATGTTATCAATCTCTTGATTATATGAATATTTTTCTAATATTTGTGCAATCAGTGCATTTTCGGAATTTCTTTGATGGAATTTGAATTTTTGCAATTACCATTTAGCATTCCATTCTCTTAACTCAAAAAGACTAAGCCGAAATATGCCTTGCAATTGGTCCAATATAATAAGATTATGAGTGCAAATATAATTGAATACTATTACAGAAAAGAAATAAAACAGAGTGAATCTTGAGAGACTGAACTCTCTGAAAAATCAGTACTTCCTATAGTTACATGCAAATTTTCTTAAGTTGGGAATCAAGCTCAGGTAAGAAAAATGGAGAGATATGCTGATAGAGAGATATGCTAATCGATATGTGCAGGCAGCATAACGAATCTTTTTCACGAAGCCATAACAGGTAAGTTTAATTTATTTCCATGAAATGAATCTAATCACTTACACAACTTTTTATAAAGTCAATCCTCGATGACATGTTTTTCATTTACATGAAAATCATACCTGGAGAAAGAATAGTAACAGCAGTTTGCACAGCGCTACGTATCAGATTATCAAGCGCAAAAATCCAATGTGGTTTAATGGTTTGTTGACGAAGTGATGGCTGTACTGCTTCTGAAAAACCATACAAGGCAAGATTAACTTGTGATATTGCGGCAGGCTCAAAATCAAGCTGTGCTCGAACTGTATCAATTGCGTCCTGAAAATGCAGTCATGAATATTTCGAAAATTTCAAAGAATTTTGACTTATATAACCTGAAATTAATTGACACTTTATTACAGATTGCGAGGATTCCATTTGTTCTTATTTCCTGAGAGTTGTGTGCAGCTTTAAAATAGATGGATGGTTTTGCGTATATTTGGGGAACAGACTCACTGCTTTAATCTCAATCATAACATTCTTAGGTTTCAGGAGATCATAAACAAATGCACACACACTATACCTGAATAGGAGCTGTATCCTTTGAAAATAAATAATTACGCATGCCAAGCAGCAAAGTTAGCAACATCTCCTGAAAGTTTCCGCATTGAATAACTTACTTCAAAGATCATAAATCATAATTAAAATTCATGCTTATTGGTTCATTTACTACCAATACCATCTTTTTTCAACGACCAATAACTTACTTTTGTGACAACTAAATCACCCGTAAGTTGACTCTTTGTAAGATGCTCATACCAGTTGTCAATAATCTAGAAAAAAGGGAAATTAGCAAAGAGTATATAATTCAGAAAATTCAAAAAATATCACGAATGTTCGAATATTAAATGTAGCGTGTGATGATATACAAAGACGAGCCACGAGTAAAGTTATGATAGACGCTTCAGATTTGATCGTATTTAAGTCTCCTTAAAATGGTATTCTTCATACATTCAACAGATGTTTTAATTTGTTTGAAATCTATCTTTATATATAAATAAAAAGAAAAAAAGAATACTTCAACTTTATAATCCAACATGAAACGAGCCAAAGTATTGCGCCGTTCGGAATCTTTCTTAAGCATAAAGAAACGCGAAGACATTCCACTTTCATCTGAAGCAGTTCGATTTAACGAACTGGGATTTGTAAACAATGGGATAGCCCCACTTACCGAAGGACTACCAAACAATGACGATGAATTCAACTGCGGGTGCGTACTATCATCTGCAAAAATCCATTTCAGTTCGTAGAAAGAGGAAATGAATCAAAAAAACAAATTAGTCAATAATTTTAAATGACAAAGTGATATATGAAATGATTACCAATGACTGGTGATGAGGGCTGACTTAGTTGTAAATTACACGAATTTGGACTGATAGTATTATGATCCAATTGATACGACGTAAGACGTGGAGATGTTGCACTTTCAATTAATAAATGTAAATTTTTCGCTGTTTCGGTATCTTTACCTGCTTCTCCTTGCGTACCCATATATGACACTGAGCGTTGCATTTCTGCAAATTTCGTATCCCAGTTAACCCGTTTCAGCGGTAAACCCGTTTCATTTTTTGGTTTCTACACATTCACAGAGAAAAAAGAAAGCTTTGATTTTGAATTTGATTTTGAATTCTTCGAAATTATTACTTCATAATAATTATTATTTCATAATAATTTCAAAGGCTGCTTGAAATGTTAACAGTGTAATTGATGAGATCATACTAAACGTTATAATGGTACAATAAGAATTCAAAATCGAGTAGAACTTAAATTGTAAGAAAATGATTATAGATTGTTAAAAGCTAGTAGGAATAATCGCAAACTATACATTAAAATTAGAAACAATAAAAACAAAATGAACAATGACTGACAGAAATGTGACCTATATAATATTCCTACAATTGTTTTTTTTCTCATGAAGTTTTAGAGAATGCAAAAATATTGAATGCGGTACAATTTAATAGTTGGAACGCCAAACAAATTAAGATGAGTACAGTTATGATGTTAAACAAGTAGTGGTGTAAGGATCACAAAACTACGCTACA